CCATAAGTTTTTTTATGTGCCATGTAAGTTTTTTCTTCCTGTGTTTCAGTATAAGCCCACTGCCTCTTGTCCCTTTACCCAGCACCACTGAAAACAGCCTGATCCCATCTTGTTGACACCCTCCTTTAAGATATTTATACACGTTGATTAGATCCTTCTTCAGTCTATTCTTCTCCAGGCTTACCTTCCTCAAGTCCCTCAGTCTTTCCTCATAGAAGAGACACTCTAGCCCCTTAATCAACTTTGTAGCCCTCTCTTTCATTTGCCTTAGGAGCTCCACATCTTTCTTGTACTGGGAAGTCCAGATCTGCACACACTACTCTGTATTTGACCTCGCCAGGGCTGAGCAGAGGGAGAGTATCACCTCTTTTGCCCTCCTGGCCACATTGGTTTTAATGCACTCCAGGATGCCATTGACCCTCTTTGCCATGAATACACTCTGCTGGCTTATGACCAACCTGCTGTTCAGCAGGACACCCAGGTCCTTTTCTGCAGAGCTGCTTTCCAGTAGGTCAGTCGCCAGCCTGTACAGATGCATGCTGTTATTCCTTCCCAGATGTAGGACTATGCACTTGCCCTTGTTGAACTTCATGATGTTGTTCTCTGCCCATTGCTGCAGCCTGTTGAGGTCTCTCTGAATGGCATCACAGTCCTTTGTTATGTCTGCTACTCCACCAAATTTGGTACAACCAGTGAACTTTCTGAAGGTGCACTCTGTGCCTTCTTCCAGGTCGTTGATGACGGGGCGCAGTACAAATCTGTTGTCTGACTGAGCAACACTGATTGAGCATCAACTCCTTCCCAGTTCCCTTACATTAGTAAAAGTAGAAAGCAACTGTAGCAGTTGATGCTTCCAGGAGGCTTGGGCTTTGCCAATAAAGCCTCTCAACAGCCAGAACTGAAGTCTCCGTCAATGCTGCTTGGTGAGCAGTCTTGTGCTTTTTATTTCCTTGAAAGCAGCTGCTCACTTCTAGTTAGAAACAGACTGCCACAGGGAGCACGAAACATATCAATTGAGAGATATTTCAGACAAAATGTTCATGACATCTTTCTTGTCTCTGTTTTCATGTATTGCTTTACTATGAAGGCAAAACAGGGCAGAAAATGTCTTGTGACTGTACTGCAGCTGTCTGTTTTCAGACAAGACACAAAAGTGCTAAGGAAAATGTCAGGAATGTTTGGGCTAGAGCCTGCATGAGTAGGAAATACAGAAATACATGAAGGTATTCACCACTCTTCTTTCCAACAGCAACAGCAGAGTGGTTTAAAACCAGAGTCATTATAAAGCCACACTGTCTATATACCTGACATTATTGTTGATTAGCTATATTTGATAAATGCTGGATAATATTAGCAAATCCAGTAAAAGATCTTCATAGGGTTTTTTTTGTTTGTTTTTTTTTTTTTGTTTGTTTGTTTGTTTTGTTTTTTTTTTTGGTCTCCATTCCAGTTAGAACTGGAAAAGGCTACAGAGGGAATTAAAAGAGATCGGAGCTGGAAAAAAATGTGAAAAACAATTCAGTGCTCACTCAGGCATTCACATTTAATTATAGATAAAGTTTTTAGTTACATTTTCTTCAGCTGAACTGCCATTTTTCATACACATTGTATGGCAAAATCTTCCTTCTAGGAAATCATTGACACACCATGTGTGGTGGAAAACAACCATGTTTTCTGGGTTTGATATCACTGTGTACTTGACATCTTCTGGGTGACTCAGCTGTGAGTGGGGCTTGGCTCTGTGGCAGACTTAGGCAGACAGAGAAATGAGCAAAGCTGATCTCACAACTTCATCCTGTTCATCCGCACCCATGAGAAAAGCCATGCTTTGTATGAGATCCTGCTTTCTCTGTTTTCCTTTGCCTGTTGCAGAAGTCTGCTATGACTTCTCTGAATGTCACTTTCCTAAGGAAGGGTGGTCTGGTTTGAGCAACTTTTACAAACCTAAAGTCAAAGTTTGATGGTGTTACTGCATCACTGGACAAGAGAAGAGCTGCTGATGTCATCTATCTGGACTTAAGTAAGGTCTTTGACATTGTATCCCACAACATCCTCATTTCCAAATTGAAAACTGTATGAGTTTAATGGGTAGACTCTTTGATGGGTAAGGAAATGGTTGTGAGATATGATCCAGATGGTGGTGGTCAATGGCTCAATGTTTCAATGGAGATCAGTGATAAGTTCTGTCCCTCAGGGGTCGGTACTGGAACCAGTACTGTTTAAACTCTTCATTAGTGACACTGAGAATGGGATTGAGTGCATTCTCAGCAGTTTGTGGATAACACCAAACTGTAAGGTGTGATCTAAGTGCCTGAGGTTGGGATGCCATCTAGAGAGACCTAGGCAGGCACAAACAGAGGGCCCAGGAGAATCTCACAAAGTTAAATAAAGCCACAATCTTTCATTTAGGTTGAGGCAGTCCCCACCATCAGTATGAGCTGGGGGATGAAAGGATTGAGCACAGCTCTACCAAAAAGGAGTCAGGAGTACTGATGGGAAAAGAACTTGGGGTACTGGTGGATGGCAACTGGACATGAGCCAGCAATGTGCGCTCACAACCCAGAAAGCCAACCATATCCTGAGCTGTATCTAAAGAAGCATGGTCAACAGGGCAAGGGAGGTGATCCTGCCCCTCTGCTCCTGGTGAGACCTCACCTGGAGTACTGCGTTCGTGTGGGGAGTCCTCAGTACAGGAGAGGTATGGACCTGTTGGAGTGTGCCCTGAGGAGGGCCACAAAATTGATCCAAAGGATGGAACATCTCCCCAACAAGGACAGGCTGAGTGAGCTGGGGCTGTTCAGGTAGGAGAAGAGAAAGCTCCAAGCAGACCAGATAACAGTCTTTCAGTATCTAAGAGTGCTGTAAGAAAGAAGGGAAGAGACTCTTTATCAGAGTCTTCTGTGGCAAGACAAGGGGAAATGGTTTCAAACTAAAAGAGGGGAGATTTAGACTGGATATAAAGAAAAAGATTTTTACAATCAGGTTGGTGAGACAATGACACAGGTTGCTCAGAGAGGTGGTAAATGCCCCATCCCTGGAGACATTCAAAATCAGGTGGGATGGGGATTTGTGATTTAGTTGTATGATCCCTGTTCAGTGCACGGGAGTTGGACTAGATGGCCTTTTAGGATCCCTTCAAACCAAACAATCCTATGATTCTATGAAGTCAGGATTTGTTCACTCTGTTGTCTGCTGAGTAGTGAGTGGAATGGCCACTGGTGACTAGGACTAATGTCCTGCCTCTCACAGAAGAAGCTGAACCTGTTGCTTTTATTTATACCAAAGTTTTGCAAGATTTATGGGATTTAACTTAGAAGTGAGGTATGAGTAATCATTTACTTGTAATTATAGTATTCCTGGGTATAAGGGCAACACCTGTGTACACACCTGGTTCACTTTCATAAGTAATTCCCTAGGTGGTCCAGAAACTCCATTTCTAGATATTTTTGTAGATGAGATACTGAACTGGTTTATAAAAATGGACTGATTTGAAAGTAGGTGAGTGGCTGAGCTCCTAGCCACCCTCACCGAAGGTTTGACTAAGTGGTGCAGGAGGTCTCTGGTTGAGAATTTCTGACTGTCCTGAGGAATTTCTCTCAGGGCAGTTCCTGCTACACCAAGAATAATTTAAAAACTTTTATTCAATAATATAGGTTGCAAGTCCCTGCAACAGGGACTTCTTCCACTACAACCAATTCTTAAGATATTTATTTCTCCATGTGATCAGAACTTTATGTCAAGATACAAATAAGCTAGCTTTGTGGGTTTTTTGTTTGTTTGTTTGAACAGACATTCTGTGCATGAATGGCTGTCTAGAGAAGCCTGCCTGTGTAGTCTGACAGTTACTCAGATACTGGTCTGAGCTGAGCCTGAAAAGTAGGTGGAATAAAACCACTTTGTTTTCATCAGCTCTTTGGAGCTCAGTTTGCATGACCAGAAAGAGCTCTGCAAGAGAGCAGAAATTATGTATAAGCATACTCGTCATTATATAAATACAAGGAAGGACAATTAGCATCAGTGATGTTTTCACTGCCTTAGAACTGCTGCTCCTCACACTGGGGTATTTCCAGACTAACAAATAACAGTCTTTTGTATTTACTAACTGGGAAAGCAATTATGCAGCAGCTATGTCATGGGTTTATCAACCACAGCCAAATTTTGATACAAGGCATCAAAGTGAGAACCAGGATTAGTAAATAGCCATTAAAAACTGTAATCACTTATTTCACGATAATCTACTGGTTGAATTCTCTCCTTCTGCCTGTTCCAAAAGTGTAACACATTTTGAACATTGAAGTTATATATGAAATTTCTAATTTTTCCTATCTATCACTAACTGCAGTCACAGAATGCCTTGGACTTTTCTACTTGTCTTACTTGGAAAAAGAAGGAAATAAGTAGATAAATGAGATTGAAATTTGATGAAACTATTCTGATCTTGCTGCACATTTTTACCTTTTCAGCTGGTGGTTTAAAACTTTGGACTTCAACCAGTCCTTTGGGGAAAAATGAAAAGATTATCATGAAGAGTCAGAGAAATTGCTTTCAACTTATGTGATTATACAGAGTAAAAAGTTTGCAAATGAAAAACAGTTTTTCATTCTTAAAATAAGCAAACAAAATGACTTAAAGTGAAACTCATAGCATCCTGTTTTGGTTACATTTTAAAACCCTGGACCTCTTTTCACTGCAAGTTTCTGCTGAATCTTAATCTTAAGAATTCTGAGAGCTTCCCATGTGATTCCCAGAAGGGGATCCCAGGGGAAAAAATCTTAACCACAGGTTTTACTAAGCTGCAGATCATCTTTCTCTAGAGGTAGTGGCTATTCAGTCACCATTGATGGTTTTTTACTAGATGAAAGCAAGTCCCACTGTCCTTCACCCTGCCAGTACTCACATTTCCTTTCACTTAATATTTTCAGCCTCCGAATGCATCAAATTAAATGAATATTCAGTATGCTCTGTTTCAGCCTTCAGCAAATTCCTGCAGGTGCTTGACTGAATCTAACCAAGTGTTCCAACAGATTATTATGATGATTGTGGTGGAATAAGTGAGTTGAGAGTCAACAGTAAATGGAACAGGGGATAGTTAACAACACTGAACAGGGGATAGTTAAAGCTTTGGGGTAAGGCCATGTGACAGCTTTTGTGGGAGACCTGTTAGATTGCCATTTCTCTCAACTATGATACCTGGTACAAGAGACATAATCAGAAAAATGGTATTTTGAAATCTGAGCCAGGCTAAGGATTTATAAAAAATTCAAAGTATTTATACTTACTTTAGCAGAATGTAAACTAATGCAAGGAGAGGAGAGAGAAGGGGAGAGAGGACACAGGAGGGAAGAGAGTGGATTGGACTGGAGCGGAGAGCTATTTCCTAGTTAAGAGTTACAAAGAAATTGTTGAATTGACAGGATGCCTCTAAACATACATATCACTTCATTTATAATGATGCATGCAAATAATGATGCATTTATAATGATGCTACTTTATATTGATTGCATAATAAGAAGAAATCTCACAAAAGTTGGTACTTCTCTTAACTATATTCATGCTGAAGTTATGATCTGTGGATGCTTGAGTTCCTGGAAGTGTAACTGAATACGAGTTTCTCTTTTCTGCCTTTCAATTTAATATAGCACAATAACCTTCAAGGTTATATTTCTGTCAGATAAGTCATCAATTTTTATGTTGCATGGGTCAAAGACTAAGTAAAATTATTTCTATTTGTTACCCTGAAAACTATGCATTACTAAGTTTATTTGGGAAAAGACCCTTTTCACAAATTCACAGGCATAGTTGCTGTTTAAGGTTTTCTTGTTTACCTTGCAAAAGCCTATCACTCTGCTGCTTCTTAAGAAAGCTTTATTCACTTTGCATCTCCACTTGATGGCTCAGGTGGCTCCTCTCTGTCTCTCTAACGCCCTCTCCTTACAGAAAGGCACAAGTTCAGTTTTGTTTGCAGTTGCAGCAGTTTGGACAACTCCCAAGTCCTGGATCCTTCTGATGTACAGTGCAGTGCAGTGCGTGCCTAGAACATTATAATTTGTACTTGTTCCTTCCAGATGTATGAAATCTGCCAAATATGTCTTTATTTGTGAATTTATTTTATCAAGCCATAGGGTTGGTGTTTTAACATAGGAAAAATATTGCAAATTAAAATGCAGAACAGAGCTTTGTTTTGTACTAATTTACCCTGCATTAGCACTGCTTGCCTTCAATTTCTAAGATGCATCTCAACTATGACGGGTAGGGAAAAGCCATGGCCACAGCTTCATATCTGATTACTCTTGTTTTCTTCCCTCACTAAAAAATGAATTCGTCATTAATAGAAGAAAATGTGAGACTAGTTTGCATGAGCTGCCTAACCAAAAACTTGCCAATGACTGTCTAAACAAAAGACAGACCAGTGCGGAGCTGTCAAATTCATGAGACTGGACCTGCAGTTATCATTACTTTTATGTCATATGTTAAAGCAAAACTCATTGCTAAGTGGATTTGCATGTGGTAGCACTCAGATTTTTGAGGTGTAGCAGATACACACTGCTGTGGCATCCTCTTCATGGGCTCTCACACTTGGCCCTTGGGATAGAAAGGTTTGGTTCCAGCAGAAAGCCTACTTCCTAAAAAAGTGACTGAGATACTGGCCATGTTCATGACCTGATATGGGTCACTAAGAGATATGGACAGCTTGAGGAGACACATAGCTCTCCATAGGCTTTTGCCTACCTACAGAGCCAGCTTTCAGGTCAGCTCAGCTGTCTCAAATGACAATCTTATCAGAACTAGACCTGCACTATGATCTGCTGTCCTGGCAGGAAAGGTGAAAAACCTACACCAGAGGCAGGCTTTGATGATGGAGGAGCAAGGATTACCTGAAGGCTGGTGGCCTGGAGGTGCTTCACTGGGATTGCAGCTGCTGGGAAGCTACTCCATACTGCTACCCCTAATCTTGCCCTATACTGTTAATCTGCATAAGCAAAAAAATATGGAAGCCAGGCAAAGGATTTTATATTTTGTTTTGTCAGGGGTTTAAGCTGTAAATACTTGCTGAAGTGAGACTTCTGCTACTACACTAGTACGCTGGAGTTTAGAGGACTTATGTCTTTGGATAGAAGCAAAAGAAAAAGAACTACTCATTCCTGTTATTTAGCTTCAAACTAAAATTCAGATTAATGTAGTTTATCCAAGAAATTAAAGATCTCAATCTCATTGCATGTGTGCCTATCAGTTTTTCTCTTAGAAATATTAAACTGTTACAGGAAATTTTCAACAATGAATACCTAATCAAATGCCTTTGCTGGAACGATCACATCTTATGGAATACTGAGCTTGAAAGGTTTCACAGTGTAAATTTTGCATGTCTGAAATTGAATGCAACTTTGTTGTTAGAAGCAGGTCAGAGACAACCACTAGGAAATCTTGGAAAAACCTAGCTGTTCTTACAAGTCATTTCCTTTGCTGAGATGTTCATCTGTAGTGGTATAGACATGGTAGGTCAAATTAAGAGAATATTGCATGACTGTAATCACGATTTGAGGAATGTTGGTTAAGACTGCCTTTCTTTTGGCTTTGTCACTGAAACAGTGGCAACGTAGCAAGAAAACAAGAGAAGTGCTGCTCTATGTTTTCTCTGACAGTGGAAGCAGATGAAAATGTTTCTTCCTTCAGCTGCTCCATCTGTAGTGTGCTGTGGTCCACTATCAGAATAATGTTTAATAAGGCTGCACAGCAGTAACCCCAGCTAAAACAGCTTGTTTTTTTTTGTTTTTTTTTTTTCAGCTTAGTGATTCCTTTTACATCTCAGTTCTGCCGAGACCTGGATCAATATATTAAGGAGGGGGCATCAGATATGAGGGATGGTCAACATGAAGAAAAAAAATGCTTTCTAAACATGATAATAATGTAGAAATGTGTAACCATGGACTACCCAGTGCTGATGTGAGATTGAGGACGGGAGCATACTGCCATCAGTGAGAGGAAGAGCTGACCCTCTTGTCAGCCACAGGAACTCAAGCTGGTAATGATCTAGACTATGGGTGTCCAATCTTTGGCTTGCCTGGGCTGCATTGAGTGTGCAGGGATCTGCAGATAAAACTTCCACAGAATGTAGACAAACAGAAATCAGCAAAAGTTTAGAAAATCATCTTCAAGAAGCTACATGTGTTAATGAAAATGATCATCTGAAGGTATTAAAAAATGAAAATCTTTCAAACAAAGAAAATCAAAACCTTTCACATTTTCTGCTGTAACTGAAATTGGTACTCATTATTACAGCTTTTACATTAGAAATATGAGATACCTTCATTCTAGGGATTCGTTCATTTAAATAATACATAAATACATACGTAATTATATAGATGAATATCATAAATAGTATTCAATTTGACTCTAAAAGATTGTTAAATTGGAGTACAAACAACACAAATGTATGTTCTGGTTAGTGACTTTAACAACTGCTGAAGTTGCACATGGGGCTTAGTGAGTTGCTTATAATGTGTAATTCAAGTCCAGCTCCAATCTGCTGGGATTCTTTCCCTCTTCAGCTTCCTGGCTCAGGGAGAAGTGCAAACCAAACAGAAAGTCTGTCTTCAAAAACATTAAAAAAGCTACCTTGGAGTGACAATGTGGTTCAGTGAAATGAACTGCAAAGCAAGCTTTTCTCCACTCAGCAAGAAAAATTATCATGATCTTTGCAGTCCGTACAATACTGTGGAAATACTCTCTGCAGATAGATGTTTCTTTGTGGAAAGAACTGCTCCTCATTAGATTGTGCCCACTGCAGGAAGAACAATTTCTGTCCACAGATCAACTGCAAATATAAAAAGAACAGTTTAAATTGCTCAGTTTTCCTTTGATAACTGTGCAGATTTCATAAGATATTCTTAACTCATTTGTAAAGCTCATCACTTTTTCCCCTTTGGGTCTATTAAAAAAATCTAGATTTCTGTTTCTGAAATGCTGTATGAGCATGAGATATGCAAGTTACTTCACAAGCTTCTTAATCTAAAAATGTACGTTTTTAATAATGATCATCCTGATTTTCAGAGCCACTCTGACATGACAGAGTAGTGGGATCCAGTGTTAGTAAAGGGTAAAATGCCTCCTCTAAACCAAATCTTGTTCACCTTTGTAATTGTTCTAGAAAGAAAAGAAACATACAATATGAAGAGAGAGTATGCTATCACTGCACTGGCAGGCAAAAATGAGCTAATGCAGGGACAAGATGCAAATGAAAACAAGGATTATTGAATTCAATGTTTGGAGAAGGCAAGGCAAGTCACCGTTCATTACAGTCTGTATCGGCCACGGGAGAAGTTGGCTTCTAACTGGTGGTCTGTGGCAATGCAAACTTGTAAAGACTTTCTTGCACAGAAGTAGACACATTGGTGACACAAACTGCAGTCAAAATTCCAATCATTGTTAATAGCTCTTTTCTTTTTTTTCTTTTTTTCTTTAGTTAAACAGAGCAACTCAGTGATTTGCCAGCATGGAATCAAGGCAGACAGAGATTCGGCCACTGCAGGGCAGACACCAGGAATGTTAAAATGAAAATACAATAGAGGATATAATCCTTGGGTGACCAATCTCTTTAACTTCTATTTAATTGCAGTGAGATGAACACTGGTCCAAGAATCTTCTGGGATATTAAAAGGACAGTGGAATATCTTTTTTTTTTCAAAGATTTAAAGTCACTTCCCTATTAAAAAATAATATATTTAGCTGAATGAAAAACAAGAAGAAAAGAGCCAATTGGAGTTAGCAAGCTGGATATATTAGACCCATTTATCTCTAGAAACCAAAGTGTAATTTGCTGTGCTGAGGATACCTGTGCAGAAGAACAATTGTGATGCACACTGCAACTTCATCTGATTTATAAAATCAGACTGATAGATCATCCTGATTACATAGAATTGGAATGAAAATACAGCTAGAGAGCACTTAGATGGCAAAGAGGACTAGAGAGGTACTTAATGTGCTCAAATGGGATTTAATATACCAGCAAATGCTGTTGCCTTGACCATTTATCCCTTTTTACTGAGGATGTGTGATCTCTTTTAACAGGATGGTACATTCATTTAGCCAGCAAAGACCATGATTTCCTACAGAACTGATTTCTTACTGACACTTAATTCACAGGAGGTGACTAGCATCTTCAACAGCTGAGTCTGAAAGATTTAGAGTTCACTGCTGCTGTTTTTCTTAACTTATGTACTTTCTTTGAGAAGCTAGACTAGACATCACCCCTTTGACAAGCATATGATCCAAGCTGACATTTGTTCTTCCAAAAGAGCAAGTGAACACCACTTCCAAAAGAGCCAAGTGTAACCTACATTGCAGCACTGTAGCTGAGAAGGATACCTTTTCTCAATCTGTTTCTCTGTGACAGCTGTGCAGCCCCCCCTTCTACCCTTTGCTTTGAAACTGGAGTAATTGAGAAAGAACGACTTCAAGTAACTACCCCCGCATTATCTTACTGGTTTCTAATTTGTTAGGACAAAATGTCCATTCTGCCTGAAGTTCACAATTGCTTTGATGTTTTAAGAAGTAGAGAAAAAAAAAAACAAACCCAAACAATTAAAAACAAAAATAAAATCCTCCCACCCCCCCCCCCCATAATGGACCAGGTGGGTGGAATGGGCAGAACAGATGACTCCTGAAATATTACTTCTATTATCATTAATTTTAAATCTAGTAGGTGTGGAAAGCAGTTCTTCTGTGTTGCCTCTACTCTGTCCAGCTCTTCCAGGGACAGACTGCTGCCAGTCTGCTATTGCACATATCTGTAGCATCTGATGCACGGACTCAGATGTGAATGATCCAAATCGTTTATTACAAGTTCTCACATCAGTCATACACCTTCACAAGTTTTCTTTTTCTAGCTTTCCCATCCACCCCTACAACTTTCCCATCCACCTTTACTTGTCAACACAGCATTCTACAAAACATTCTTCAGCCGTTCACGCAGGTGCTTATCCAGTCAGAGCCGTGAGACATTCTTTCTTCTTCTAGAGGTGTCCTTGGTTCTCATGCTGTTTATCTTGCTCCACAGCTGCTGCTCTGAACAGTTTTTCTTGTATTCCCACACATATCCATTACAACATGAGCAGCAGCTGCCATGGTGGCCCCCCAGATACATGGCAGGCACAAGTTGTAGGAGGAGGTCAATCAGCCCTTTAACATCTGCAGAAAAATGGGGAGATTAGGTTAGATTTTAGGAGAAGTTTTTTTCACAAAGAGGGTGGTGACACACTGGAACAGGTTGCCCAAGGAGGCTGTGGATGCCTCATCCCTATAGGCATTCAAAGCTAGGCTGGATGTAGCTCTGGGCAGCCTGGTCTGGTGTTTGGCAGCCCTGTGCATAGCAGGGGGGTTGAAATTAGATGATATTGTGTTCCTTTTCAACCCAGGCCATTCTATGATTGTATGATTAATTTTTTTCCCCCACATCTTGCTTTTAGTGCCAGCCTGTTCAAAAAGCTGCTCTAATCAATAGTTCTAATGTTTTTAGACTCAGCCCTGGATGTGGTGAGTGAAGATTGTGCAAACTGTGGTGCAGAAAAAAATGAGTAATTTTTTCTTGCACAAATGCTATGTAGATACTGGTTTCTTTTAAAAATATTACCCTGACAGGAGACACTGTGATATTTACAGTGCAGCTGACATAGCAATAGGAACTTCCAGTGAACCTCAGGGAAAGTTGCTTTACTGGAAAATAGCCTTGAATTGACTGTGAATGGGGAGGATAAATGTGCTGCTGTCCTAGGAGGAGAGAAAGTGGGACCACCTAGGGAGCGTGGAGGAGATCTGCCAGGCTCCAGGGGAGACGAAGAGAGCAAGCACTGACAGGACAGGTAGACTCTCCCAGCCTCTCCCAGCAGCAGGGAATTAACTCAGGGAGATAAACATTCCAGTTCTTTTAACAAAAGATTAAGGGTTATATAATACAGAAATGTGAGAGCAGTCTTGTGCTCACAGTGTTGCGTGCCTTGATGTGAACTGTGTTTGCTGTATTCACTCTAATCAAAGGTATAAAAGGGTCGGGTTCCACCAAATCCAGGTGTGAGGTTTCTCATGTGTATAGGAAGAGCTATAAGCCAGTCATGTTCTTATGGAAGGTATACAGAAAAAGAGTACAAGCCTGTAAGGATGGGGTAGGTCCATGGTCAATCCAGGAAGGCAAGTCATTGGGTTGTGATTTACAGTACACAGCATCAGATGCAGGTATGGCTGCAACACAGCTCAGGCAAAGAGCTCCAAAGAAGGAGTCTTTTGGAGATTTCTTGTGGAGACTTCTCACAGCTTTCCTCAACAGCCCTTTTCAAGGCTGTACACACTACTTCGAGATCAAGCAGGCAGACCTTTGGGGTGGATTGGATGTGCACAGAGTCCTGACACACTGGAACTCAAATGATTTTAAAGTGTTTCCTTTCCTTTGATAGAGTTCTACTCCTATAGCCCAAGCAAAGTGTACAAGTAGTATTAACCCAACTGCTCTACCAGAATGAACAGGTCTTGCAGTAGATAAAAGTAGTCACCAATATATACAGTATGTCAAGTTTAGACAGGAGGAAAAGGAATATTCCTTCTTGCAGTCAAACTGGTGTAAAGAAAACTGAATTATACAGAGATTCAAGCCCTCAGCTCTACCTACCTCAGCATGCAGGAGAGGGTATTGCAGAAGAAGATGTTTTTAGAAACATACCGAGTGCTCTCTGTCATCCCTTCTTTGTTCTTGCATCTTAGATTAACGAATGCAAACAACAGAGGCAATCTGAACGGTTCAGAATCAAACATGTAGTTGCCAAAAATAATGTGCTGGGGTCACTTGGTAACAGGTGCTACTCTCCCACTCACTGAAAAGCAAATCAAAATATTTTATTATTTTTAGGAGATTTGTAGAGGAGTAGAATATACTGGTCTAAAATAAGAAGCCATTACCTGGCTGTAATTCTGGTCCTGCCAATTTCGGCAGGGCTGGGACTTCCCAGCACTATTGTCTCCTATCTATTAATGGCTGTTCCTGCTTCATATTATTTCCTCTTCCCAATAAGGAAAATAAATCACTTGCTTGAAAGATATTCTGATACAATTGCTAATTAGACCTTTGTACTTCTGAATCCAGTTTTGACATTTTCCTGAATTTTACATGTAAATAATTGGAAAAGTATCAAAGCAGAACATCAGTTGTTGTTTTTGTTTGTTTGTTTGTTTGTTTAAGTTATTGTCATTATTTAATGAATAGGGAGGAAGAAAGAAGACAATGCTTGTCTTTCCCTTTTTATTCATTTAGGGAGGACACATAAGGTAAAAAATCAAACCTAAGGTGATGAATAAAGAAAAGGAAGAGCTGAAAATAAGGAAAGCAGAGTCATTCCAAAGATCTCTTTCTATTTTTAATATCCTCTTTTTCTATCTCTTGGTATGGAATTCTTTGGTGACACTTTTATTCATGTATCATGAAAACTAGTTTCACTTTTTTCAGGCAGTTTTCTTTTTTGCAATTACATTTCAACACAGGCATATCCTGTCATTCTTACCTCCTGTGAACGCATGCAGAAACCACAATGAAAAACCAGGCATTTTTCTGTCCTACCCAATGAAAGTCTGTTTACGTACGTGCATTGGTGCACATACAGACTGTGCATGCACACATAGGCAGGAATGGCTGTCTCACCACCTTCCTCAGGACTGGATGGTCCTGGTCCAGGATCTGAGCTGTTCTTTTCCATTATGCGATACATCAGAAATGATTTCATACCTCCTGCCAAAATTCTTCAACTGAAAAATTACTTTTACATATGCTACTATTTCTTCAAATATGCAGGCGATTCCTTCTTCCCAGACCAGGAGCCCATCGACCCAAGCTATAGATTATTTTCTGCTTTGTTGTAGTACAGTCGTTTTGTCACCACAGCACACATTCAGTCTCTCTCATGGATGTACTTCAACGGCATCAGTATAAGAGCACGGAGGGGACTGTGTTTTCCTCCATTCTTTGATTTCTATATTAGGGAGGAGATGCAAAGAGGTCATTCCAGGAGCAAAGGTACAAACACAGTTATTATATGCACTGAACACTAGGTAGTGTAAGATATTGTAATCAGTTGTGTCTCCTTGCCTGATGAGAAAGCACTGAATGAGAATATAGATTATAGACAACAATTTACATTTCTTAGTGAGTGGTTAACTCTAAATGTTTTCTCCAGCATCCTTTTTCTACAGAGTTTGGTGGGATGGCTCCTCTAGCGTTCAGTATGTGCTGGCCTGGCAGAGGTGGATCTTACTCCTTAGCGCCCTTTATCTCCAGCAGGTAATCACAGATGACACCCAATGAATGTTGCACTGATCATGGAAGAAGTTATGTATGGCAATGAAAAAGTACCCTGAGGTCTCATCTTCCACTTCGGAACCACAGTGTACTTGTTCTTCTGAGAGGGTGACTGTGCAAAGCAGGTGAAGGTACAGATGAAATATATAACAAATTCTGTATCTTTCAGGAAAGTGATGATATGGTATGCATGTGAACTGAAGAAGGGGAAAAGCTCTTCCTTCTATATTACAGTTTGGAAGTGGAGCTGTAACAACACAA